AACGATTGGCGTGAACGGCAAGAAAATGTCGATATTACGACCGGCATAATCGTCAGGTACCACGCGGCGTCATTTGCATCAGCTCGGAATTCGCGCGAGTGAATTAAACGACAAACGTGCCGCACAGTTTCGTCCGTACAACAAGGGTAAATATCGATGAATATGCAAAGTGAAAACAAGAGAGCGTAGACCTCACCTCCTCTCGAACAGTACTCTTTACGCAAGAAAGCAAGAAGTAGGCAGGCTCCGTGCAGCATTCGTCAAGTAAATAGGTAGTTAAATTATTTAGTCTTTTAACGCAACTTTTGTTGTTATCGCATCGAGGCATAACCTGACTTATTGAGCTTTATTCGTTTATTCTGATAACAATTTTCTTTTTATGTACTAGCGACAGCATTAATATCGCCTTGAGAGAGAGAGAAAAACCCAGAGATTCCAAAGAGATGACACAGCTGGAGTTGGATCCACAATTCACGCAAGGACTGCGACTTCTGTATTCTACCAACAAGGACTCTGCGGAACAGCTGCGAGCTCTGTTAGATGAGGCAATTAAACAAAAGTACGGGCCATCCAAGATGCTTTCCAACGTGTTGCACAAGAAGGTAATCAACGATCCTTATACCAATGATGTAAAGCAAGAGCCGGTCTAAGCTTTTCCACTTGTTTGTCAGTACATGATGGAGGAACCGGTGCTGAGCGATCACAGTAGTAGCAGCAGTAAAAAGAGCAAAAGTTCTAGCTCGTCCAAGCACTCGAGTAAGTCAAGCAAAAACAGCTCGCCAGTTAATCTGCCAGCGCGCGACACTCCACCAGATATTCTACAATCGGATGATACACTGGCGTTGGAAATTCTAGAGGATGATCTTACATGTGTTATTTGCAAGGGGATGGACGTTGGAGCGAGAAATAGACTTGTGGAATGTCAGGAGTGTCATTCTTTGTATCATCAGGAATGTCACGTTCCTCACATCTTGGACTCGCAGATAGATAATGTACCGAAACAAGTGTGGTACTGCTCTAACTGTTCAAAGTCTCAGGTGTGTGTATTTACCCACACTTATGTGTATGTTTATAATTTATATAAAAATTGTTCAGCAATTTTATTTTATCAATTTTAGCAATTTAATTTTATTAATCATTTTTCATATTTGTGAAAAATTTATCTTTGTCATTAAATATTCATTATTTGTTATTAATAAATTCTCACATTGAATTTTTAAGTATATCAGATATTCTCTTCAGTTCGTAGATTAATAAATAACTACAAGTGTTGATCACAATTATCACAAAATCTATTTTTGGAAATGGTGAATTCTTGCAGACTAAATTATATATACATTTACCAATATATAAGATAATGAAATATTAATATTTTCTCTAGAAAATTCGATGTTTTTTCAATCTAATGTAAATTATAGTTTAAAAGTTTTTAAATATATAAAGCTTGTACATGTATAAAGGCTATTTTAGTAATTAGAAATAATATGAAACAAGAAAAGTTCACATAATTGATAATTTGGTATAGCAATGAATAGAATTCTTATGATTATTATAACATTTAGATCACGAAAGAAAGAAGTTCACCAAAGACTGTGATAGAAAGCAAATCTAAGGAGCAGAAAAAGCCTAGCTCAAGTAAGTAAGCGCACACAACACTTTTGATATATGTATATGTGTGTGTATGTATATATACATGTGTGTATGTATGTACACACACACACAGATATATATATCACATTTTATATGTAATCATTAAATTTTTTATTTTTGTAGGCAGTGGAGCTAAGGTAACACCAAATATTCATATTATTAGCGCGGATAAAAGACTGAAAGATATGATGAAAAAAGCTAAGCAGGACAAACGAAATACGGGTACTGCCATTGGTTCAAAGAGCTCTTCGTCTAGCGCTCCTGCATTATCTTCAGCCAAATCTTCTCAGGAAAAATCATTGTTATATAAGATAAAGTCAGGGGTAGAATAAACTACTTAATTTGTAAAAAAAAAAATAGCAAACAAAACCATAAAATTGTATACAAATAGTGTATTTTATAGAAATAATACGAGAGTTTTTTATCAATAATGTAATTATTTTGTAATTACTTTTGTTAATCTGGGAGAATGGGCGACAATTTTATTGTTACTTTTTACAAATATATTTTTCGTATGATCAGAAAGAGTAAGAGAGAGAAAGAGAGAACAAGAATCGCGTTCCTTTATCATAAAGACAGAAATTCTGAATAGACGATACCACTAATGTGTATTTACATATATTGAAGTTTAATCTCGAATTACATTCAATCGATATTAATACAATTGGGCCTTTGTGTAGTGTCTGAATTTCTTACTGCCTATATAAATACAATTCCATATTATACAATTTATTAATAATTGTACAAACGTGCCATGTAAATTTGTTATCTTTAAGCTTTCGCATTATTATTACAAAAATATTAAGTATGTAGAAAATAATGACATAATATTACTATCGCTAATAATTATTACACACGTAACATCGTTCGTAATACAAGTCTGCGTTGATAGTTTTTAATATAAATGTACAATAGATCATTTTTTAATACCATTTATTGAGATATTTATAAAAGGAAAGCGATAAAATTATATAAACTTCACATATCTCAAGATTGCGTATTAATTGTACTATTATATATATATTTATTTATATATATATATATATATATATATATAGTATTATTATATATATATATATATATATATAGTTTATTATATATATATATATATATATATATATATATATATATATATATATATATATATATATATTATATAATATATAATTCTTAAATACATGTTTGCTTTTTTATTAAATAAGTGTGACGGCTTATACATCGTTAGTATAAAGTGGAAACCGAGAGAAGCATACGATACTTTCAACGCCGGACGAGCGAGGCGCAAACCCGTCGCGCCGCCGGACCCGTCCGTGGTATAAATTTCAATCGTTCACACACAAGTGTACTTTCGTTATCTCGCTCGCGCGGATTTTGACATCGGAATACGAAATTTGTCAGGGAAATTTGCGAAGGTGTCCGCTTCCAATCTGCGTACATACCAAATTTGAATGGAAATATAAAAAATTGAATGGAAATCTCTCTCTCTCTCTCTCGCGCGCGCGCGCGTTTGGGGTGTATACACAAGGTATTGCGTAACGCACGACTCCGGGGGTGTTGAGGGGTCGGGTGGGGGGAAGGGGTCGCGGACGAAGACGATGGCACCTCCGCGGAACACGGAAAAATTCGCGTGGAAAATACACGCGCGCGGTAATAATCAATAAACTCGATTCAACGAAATCTCGTTAATTCTCGTCCGGGGAAGACTGCACCAAGCGGCAACTAAATTCGCTCGCCACGCGCGAGGTCGGGGGGAGGGGGAGGGGAGAAGGTTTCGAAAACGGGATTCCAGGTAAATAATTAGCGACCGTGTCGTGCAAAATCGATCGCGGCGACCACTTTCTGGGAGGAATCCGATAATAGAACTGTATCGCGCGCCTATTTTCAGGGGCAGAGGCGCCAGCCGAGACGGACGAATCTCTCTCTCTCACCGCGTCGAAGGCAGATCGCACGCATACATATATTTATGTATACGTACACAAGAGGCATGTATCCGCGATTAAAAATCGCGGCACGGACACGCGCGGGCTCGCCGATTTATTATTTACACATATAGATCCAATTACAAAGAGACGTGTACACGACGAGAGTGTAAAAAAAACTCACAGTTAGCACAGATTGACGTACACCCGCGATCGAGCCTTACACAGATTGTGTGTTAATCCGTCGTAATATAAATAAATACGATGTTACATTGTAATAGAGAGAAGGGGGATACAGATGGGTTGCCGAATGTGAGTGGACGCGATTGCGGGGGGAGTCTGGGGACCCTGGGGGGGATATAATTGAGAAAACGCGCGGCATTATTAAGTACAAGAGTATGAGCACGTCCCCAGCCTCCCTGGACCCACGCCGATTTTTACTCGCCGATCCAATCTCCGTTGCGTCTCGATTGAACGACGAGTTTCTTACACTGGCTGTGAACGGATCGTCGATTCGTAAAAGCGCGCAACTCGGAAAAAACTTGGCAGTGCGTGCCGAATGTCGTTTAATTTTTCGCCGGTATTACACAACGCGAAAGTGTTGTTCAAAATTTCCTTAAAAAAAAAAAGGTAAAAAAAGGGAGGTAAATGCGAGTTCAAAAAAAAAAAAAAAATAAAAGATCTGCCAGTCTTATGTTAACTAAACAATAAGTAAGATCTTTCGAAGAATACTGCGTGTCGTTGTGCCACGACGAGCGTGTTTTGCTATGACCTATTGCGACAATAGCACGTAAATCTCAGTCGGAATACATTAGCGAATACAAAAGTCTTCTCTTCATCATGATTGAAACAGTCTATAATATTCTCGCAACGATAATGTAAAAAGGTCCGTTTCGTTTTGCATCTGTTACACCTAATAATATAGCAATTAATAGGCAGCATTAATAATTATATATAATTTTATATATATATAATATGGACACTAATAGAGAAATAATAATTAATAACCGTTAATAATGCAATAATAATAATAATAATAATAACACAATAATATAATAATACCTACAATGGAAGATAAAATTCTAGATGCTCCACAAAATGGCCTTTCTAAAAAGAAATTATTCGCACTTTGTAAACTACAACAGAGAGACTCAGAAGCAAAATAAAAGATAAAGATAAAAGAAAACGATTTGTTCGTTCGACGTTAGACGATATACGTAAATAGGCCTAGAGTAGACTGAGCTGCTCTTGTAACTTTTTTAACTCTTATACTTCTTTTAACGTTACTTTAATCGCCTTAATTTAATATTATCTGTTACTCTGTCTCTGAATTATAAGGGTACGTAACCCCCCCAACTTATAATACATATAGTCCCTCTCTAACTAGCTCACTACAATCCGTAGAGGTGTGTTGCGCATGATTTTTTGCTTTATATATATATATATTTTTTATGTATATATATATATTTAACATATTAATAATTATATATATATATATATCATAATGAAGATAGTAGGCATAGCCACTCGTGCTCGGATCACAGACTACTCGCTGCCGTACGTCGCTCCCGTACAGACAGTCTGGTGGACACTATGGCTTTCTCTCGCTTAACCATTAAACATGTTACTTTTACTTTATGTTATATATTCCGTATTTACGTACCACACGTATAGATATCAGCTCGGCCATAAAATTTACATTTTAAATTTCTTCCCTAATAAGTATTTGCACCGATCCACGTCTCCGATCCTCAAAGGAGTCTCGACAGAGAAAAAAAATGCGCTGCAGCGTCGTGTATACGCAACGTCATATATAAAATAGAACAGAGAATTAAAATAACTTAATTAGATAAGACAACTAAATCTCTCTCACTTATACTACGATAACAATAATCACCCGCGAAAAGACACTCTACGAATTGAGATTCGTTCGAATTCGATGAGACTCACATATAAATACACTTTTCATTTTCTAAAGAGATTATTAAATAGATAGACGTCTGTCCAGCGTCGTGATTTAAGGATCAGAGGCGCGTACATTGCCTACCAATATCCATACATGTTTACAAGCGTATTTCGGTATGGCCAACACGTAAAGACGGTAAAATACTACCACGAGGACTGTCTATCCCGTGACCTATCACCTGACTAGCCCTAACGAAATCGCGTGTATTTTTTTTACGGCATTGTTATTCACACGGTGTGTTGTAATGTGTAATATTTGTACATATGTAACGAGGTGTATCTGATGCATGAAGTGGAGGCACTAGTCAGTGTTTCTGGAGAGGTTGACGGGTCCTGGGATGGAAGTGAGGAGGGTATGTCAGCAGGCACTGGTCTCTTCTCCCTCGAGCGTGTACGCTACGTTTTCTAGTCTATGAGCTAGGTGAAGTTTGCGACAGCCCGCATCTGTCTCCAAGGCCTCTAGGATCTGAAAATGATAATTTCACAAACACCGTCATGACCTAATTTCGTTACCCGAGACGAGGGAAACAGGCGATGGATATCCGATTAAGCGATTACTCACTTGTTCATAATACTTGCTGACATAGATGTAGAGCTCTTTCAGCGCCGCGATCACATCAAACTCGTTGGCGTGAGACGCGCTCAGTTGCTGCATGGCACTAGACATCTCCTGGTCGGTGATCTGCGGTAGTCTTTGCACATCTGTGTAGAATCGACCCACTTTCTCGCGATAGTGCGGTATATCCTTGGCGAAGAGTAGCTTGTTAGACGGCGAGTCCTTGCCCAGTCTGTGTTCCGTCATCGAGCACGAGTCCATGAACGTCTGTGCGATCACGGAGAGACTCGAGTCCACCGTCGTGGACTTGTTGATGTCGAACATGAAATCTGGATTCTTGATAAAATTAACCCAGAATCGGAGCGGCAGGCTGTTCGACTTCCACGCGTGCGCCACTTCCGGATCGACGATGCCGTGCTGCTTGGCAGCTTCATCGAGGAGATCGAACAACCATTTGACCGCGCTAGGCAGTGCCTCATTAGCGGTCAGTATGGTGTTTAAGAAATCGTCGACGAATTTTTGTACGGTGCCCTTTGTCGACAGCAATCGCGTCAGGAATATTTCTGGGATCGCCTTGTGCGTTCGCTCGGGATGGTGATGTTTGTTGCTACCGGTGAAGCCCAAGCTTGGCGGATAGTGCACGTCCTCGATGGGCCTCACCAGATGATACAGCCGCTGATTGCCGCCATGAGCGCTCTCGATGTCGCCGTTCGCCGTTATGATAGGCGGCGAGTGTTGGGAGTCGAAGTACAGGTCGCTCACGGGATGATTATACATCACAGGACTGATCAGCCCGTGATTGGGCGTGGATGGAAGATGCGTGGACGAACAATGATTCGAGTGTCGATGTAAATGATGATGATGAGACGGTGGATGGTGGGAGTGAATCGATGGCTGCTGCTGCGGATGATAATGCGAGGGCTTGCAATTGTGACAAGGTGGCTTGCAAGCCACCGAGAAGCCGTCGTTCTGTCGAGGAATCAACGACATCACCGCCGAGTCCTTGACACCGTAGTGTGCCAGCGTGTTTATCTTCTTCCACCCACCGCAGCACTTGGTCGTGAGGTCTTCGTCCTGGAGAGTCAAATGACCACCACGACCGTGTCGCCACTCCAGATCGACGTCGTGTACGGACGGCCTCAGCGAAAACGGAGTATTCTTGTACAGCGCGTCGAGAATCTTCGACTTTACCTGACTTATAGTATCGCAGTCTAAGACCTTACACTGTATCTTCTCGTCGAGATCGTCCTGCACCACGTGTAACGTGACGATCGTATGTTCGATCTGTTCGCGCAGGAGTCTTTCTTCCGAGAGGGAATATCTCGCATCGTGCGTTATCACATCCACCGGTCCCTTCTCGATCTGATGCTTGATCGCCTTGAACAGCAGGAACAGGGACGAACCGGCGTAATCCTTCAGGTAGTTGTACATACAAAGCGCCATCCAATTCGTCAACATTTTTTCCACCACAGATTCCGTTCTCCTCAACATAAGCTGCGGATGCTTTGTGTTCACTGCTTTATCGATGAGTCTCAACAGTAGATTCATCAATATATCTGTAGCGTATTCCATCTTACCCATTAGGACAACCATGAGTAAAGAGGCGACGTTTACCTTGTCTCTAATATTAAAGTCCTTTTGAGCCTCTAGAGTCTCTATGAATGTTAGGACGAAATACTTGTTGTTGACAAGCTGCTCGAATTGTATCATTGCCGCGTCGTAGTTGGTTCGCGAAACATTGCTACGCGAACGCGGATCATTCAATATGGGATGGTCTATCACTCCGGGGAAGAACACCTTCATGATATAATTCTTATGATCGAGAGTGGGTATGCCCGACGACTCAAGATCCGCGGTCAAGTCTGTCATGTCTGTCTGTAGTTCCGCAAACGCCTGTTTGCATTCCATGCGAACGTTACTCTCGAGCGTGTCCATCTGTATCTGTATGCGCTTGTATTCCCGTTCCGCCTGCGTGCTTTTACGGCGATATATCACCAGCACCAAGACGAATAAGAAGATGAGACTGAAGGTACCGGCAGCGATACCGGCAATTGCCTCAGGTGGTATCGGATAGGACTTGATGACCTCGTAGCGCAGATAGCCGATAGGAAAGCGTAGACTGCGACCGACTCGTACTACCACCAATGGCAGCCCACTCTCAGTTTTGATGCCGAGTTCATCCGTATCGGCGGGCTGTTGGTCCGGCGGCGTACAAACCAGTTGCGTAAGAGCAAGAGATGTTACGTTGCAAGGCATGACGCCTACGGTGACATTTACGTCAGACTCGTCGCTAGCGTAGTTGAGATTCTCACCCTCGATCACCAGCGTGTCACCTTTGTATAGTTTGACATTTCGCGGGAATGGAAAGAATTTCGGATCCTCGACGTAAAATAATCGATTACGAAGACTCTGAAAGTGCTTCTCCAAGTCCCTCACACTCTCAACGTTATCCATAATAAAAGCGATTTTGAGAGACAATTGGGATTCCTTCAGCCTCAACGAATGCGGCGATGAGGTGCCTTGAGCATTGGCGGCCGCCGAACGTTCACTGCGTCGAATCGAAGTGAACCTCTTAGCGACGCTCGGACTTGGACATTCCATTTGCGTGGGATTTAGGACGGTGCAAACGGTTCTATTTACCGGTAATTGCTCGTTGTCAAAATAAACCTCCATCTCGGGCTTCTGAATGGTGTCCAGGTTTGTGCCATGTACGGTAATCATGCGTCCACCCGAGGCAAAACTCCTAAGTGGCTTGATTTCCATGATAGTCGGATCATGAGTATAATTATACGGATTATCCATGAGAGTGCGATTTGCACCATCAATACTCAGGGTTAGCCTATGAATCCGTCTGACGCGGCCTGACTTACTAGTTACGCAAGTCAACCTCGTGCTGCTCGCTTGGGTTGCGTTCACGTGGCATGGCAACTCATCCAGATATGCCGATATCGTACTACCGATGTTGAGATACTTACCGGTGATGGCCAGTTGAGTGCCGCCGCTCTGTGGTCCAACCGACGGATACACGCCCGACAGACGTATGTCCTTGTAATTGAACAGCACTGCGCTCTCCGTGTAACCGGCGTCATTGCCGACTACGACGGACGCCGCATCCGTGGCTTCGTGTCGGCCGGTGCGGCAAACAATGCGCACCGACACCTCGTAGTCCACCAGAACGCATGGAGTGTTGCCGATGTGTATCTTGCCTTCCACGTCACTCTCCTTCAGCCCAAGATTACTACCCTCGATTGTCACCAGCGTGCCGCCTTCGATCGGCCCGCTCAGTGGCTTGATCATGTCTATACGAGGCTTTGGACACTCGGTGAACGGTGACTGTAGACACGAGTGTCGATATACGCAGCTGTTCCCGCACCAAGTGCACTCGAAGCGAGTGTCCCGCGTCACGCACAAAGAACAGTCCGCGTGCTCGCGATGCGAGCCGAGTACTTCGCACTTGTATAAAATTATCGTAGTCTTGTCCACGTGATGATTCGTGTTCCAGACAACCGTTACCTCAGCCTCGTATTCGCCGCTTACCGCTTCGTAAGAATACACGGTTTTGTCGCATACGATGAAACGACTGCTATCCACGCGGGCCTGTACCTTCAGATTGGCGCCTTCTATGCTGACGATACACTGAAATCCGCTGTGACCCACTTGCGGATGTGGCAGGTTCTCTACCTCGAGCACTATCTCCTTAGGTACGCTATTGGGCAGCATCAACGGCTCTTTGCGTTCTACGAATCTCGGACAGAACTGTGCGCCGTGCGCAGCAAGATTGGCATGGTTTTGCTAAAACAAATAAAAAATATCTGCATTATAGTACAAGTTACAGAAATGAATTTGCATCTGTATTCAATTATGCATAACTTACGTTTTCTCCCGATATAATGCCTTGACAGCTAGTATTGTGGGTGCACTTGTTATCGTAGACACACCAGCTACACGCCCATTGCGACTTTACACACTCGGTGCACACGGTGTGCCTCGAACAATCGAAAAATGCAAAGTTGCGCGATACGAAATCTTTGTTCGTTTCACTCGATCGCACGGACAATGGTACGAGCGCGTGATCGGCACCCTCGGGAATGCTGGGTCTCTCTACGACGGGTGGTGTGGGACAGGATAGTCCGAAACCAGTCATCAGCGCGTCTATTGGTTCGGCGTTACCAAAAACACACTTGTAATTAGCGCCCGTCGGTAATTCCGGTAAAGTTCTAATTGTTAATTGTACTGTGGTCATCTGATTAATGGGCATACGATCGGGTAGAACCTGCTCGAAATCAATGCACTGTTGACCTGTGCCCAAAGACAACCATCGTGGACTACTGTGACTCGCTTTCTGACAGTCTCCTCTCACAGTGCACCTGTTAGAAAAATATTAATATTATTATAACAAAAGAAAAATTTTATATTTACAAGAGATATAAACTTTGTGAAATTGAAAGGTTCTGCGAAATAACTAATTTACCTCTTTTCTAAGGAACACCAGCCACAATAAGGATCCTTCGCGTCGAGACAGCTGCTGCAATTGGTATAACCACTGCAATGCTCCACTTTGACCTTCGATATCTTCGAAGTGGACAATACATAGATATGTTCGCCGTCTGGTGAGATCAGCGTGTCGGGCAACAGCTTTTGTCCCTTATCGATCGTAACACTTTCATAGACAAATGCTTCAACTCCAGACAACAAGACCTTCTTGAGAACGCCATCGCTCGTGCCGAAAAACGCTACGGTATGGCTCTCGGTATTGGCGACGGTTACAGAGGTGATGAATGTATCGGGAAAGTGCAGAATAGCTTGACCCGTGATTGGCGATACCCCGGAAATTTTTAATCCAACCTCGCAGAAGTTCAAAATATTTCCCGTAGTCTGAAAAATAAAATAACACAATCAATATAGAAACAAAATCTACATAGTCTCGATGTTCTCGACTTTTCTTTGTGATCGAAGTTTACTTACTCCGGCAGTAGGGCACTTTCCATCTTGTATAGGGCCGCTGATATAACCCATATTTCGATATTTGATGCTACCGTTGAAACACATATGAATATTTTCATTAAACTTGGTCTCGATATCTTGCAGACTGTAGATGCAAACCGCCGAGCGTGATAGAGGCTCGTTCGTGATGCCTCGGCTCGGCGAAAATACAGAGACGAATATTGGATCGCCAACGGAGATGCCGAGTTGCATGGCCAGATCGCTGCCCGCCACCGCGACCTTTGCGTCTTGCACCAAGTTATAATAGTGCTGCTTCCCGTCTCCCAGATCGACCGTACACTGCAGAGTCACTTCAGTGTAACTGTCATAATTCGGATCGCTTATGCAACTGCGCGCCAATCTGGAGATGTATCCCAGTTCCTCTTGCTCGGGTAGATACGACTGCTTCTGTACCAGAACAAAGTACGCGTAGTCGCTCGCGTTAAATCCGTACACGTACTTCACCAAAAAATGATCTCGATACTTGACGTCGATGTACACAATCGACTGCTTATTGAACGTGTACTCGGCAAAGTTCAACTTGTCGAGATTTCTGCTGGAAATAGCGGGCACATCGTGACGATAATCTCCTTTGTTGGTGAAGGTCGTCCCCACGTAGAGTATGTTTGTTTGCCCCCATGAATTGTATTTTTCAGGTCCGATGAAAGCATACGTGGAGGAGTTCTCATCATTGGCAGCTACACTGTGAATAATGAATTCCGGCTTAATGGATATGTTGGACATCTTCGTATTTTCCGCAGGCGCCTTGAAGAAGAGAGCCACAGACAATTAACATCTGCGACTCGAGATCGGCAATTAGCAGCTTGTTCACATTATCCATTAAAGTAGTAGTAATGTCTCTTGCCATGCAACCTGTTGCATGACACTGAGGATTGTCCAGTCTACGGTCCTAAAATAAGAAAAGATCCATTATTCACTTCATGTAACACAATACACATTGTATTACAAAGAGAAAAGAGAAAAAGAGAACTTACCTGTTGAGACATATTCCTCCAATTTGAGATTTGAATCGAGTTGAAAGAGCCTGTTGATCGCGCCTCCATAGAGCCTTCCCGAAACAGGATCTATAGTGAGATGATTAAATCTCAAAGCTCCTTCTCTAGTTGAATTGGCATCTAGGGAAAAATATCCATATCGCTGTCCATTTCCCGTGGGGAACTGTGCTACAATATGCGGGGATTTGTTCTCCTGTATTAGTGGTGCAGTGCTAGCAGGAGTGTCTATCGCTGCAGTCGCTAGGATCACTAGAAACCATGTGGCAATGGACATGGATGAAAAGGATAACCTATAAAGGAGCGATGGTGGCAGCAGCACTTGTGGAGGCGTCACTGCGGATGATTCAGGAAATGACTGGGTAATTCCCAGGAATTTCATGGTGTGTACGCGACAGCTGACAAAGCACGTGCGCACACGAGTAACGTGTGCGTCAGTGCGTATGCAGGTCTAGGAGAGGAAATGTAAAAGGTATGGTGTCAGGGTGTGTGCCCTGCTGCTGGTAGCGAGCCAGTGTTAACGCAGTACTACCAGCTATGCTCAAATGCAGGCGCCGACGTGCCGATCATTGTCTGACGCTCCTGAAACATTAAAAAGTTATATTAAATACACAATGAAATAATATAAATTATACATGTATATATATATACACACACACACACACACACACACACACACACACACAACTAATTAA